CTGCTAGGTTGGCAGGAGCTGGAACTAGAGACGGGAGCGCACTCCATCATGCGGCACACTTGGGTCTCGAACTGCTGAACTACCGACCTTCCACAGCCTGCAGTTCATTGTCTTAACCACTTGAGCCACCGCAGCTCCTTCCTAATCTATACCTTGTGGTAAATAGCCACTGATGGACCTCTGCTCCAGATGTGCATGCACACGAAAGCTTATACCCAGAATTAAATTTTGCAGGTCTTAAAGATGCCACTGGACTCGAACTTTGTTCTTTTGCTTCAGGCCAACACGGCTACACACCCGCATCTATCTCAGTTCTTCTGTGTTATAGATACGTCCACACATGCATAACTACCCACTGATGTGCAATGCTCTCTCTAAGCTGTGGAGTCTTGTGAGCAAGAAATTCTACTTTGTGAGCTACTGGCATTAAAGTTGTGAGCGAGCGATTTGGCTGCTGCATAAACTAGTTGGTTCTGGAGCCCTCCTTCCTGAGCCGAGACAAAAATGTGTGACCCGGAGGCTAAAAAACGGTGAGCTAGCTCACACTACTGATGTGTGGTCTGCATGAACGAATGGGCCATCACACACAGAACACAGATGGCATTTGCCCATTGTCTCCCACACCATACTTTTCAGTGTGCACAAACCCAACCACTTAGCCATCGAAGAATACGTGAACCCTTGACTTGGGGATGGCAGGCTGAATTCACACATTTCTTAGACAGGGAAAGGACTCTGCCGCTTAATCGGTTGTAGCCGTTGTTTTGACCTAGTGTTGTTAGATATCAGTAGAGATGATTGATTTAAAAAAATGGCCAAGCATCTACTTTTTAACCAGCTAATAACTGGATTAAATTTGAATAAATGTGCATGTTACCCAACCACAGGTCACTAAAAGCGCATTGTTGAGAAACACAAGAGAAAAGATTACTCATACTTCCAAGGTTTAAAAAGCTGCTACTTGAAAGTTGCAGTTCCTGAAGATCTCCAGCTCTTACCCAGGAACCCTGACGGTGGTCCTCATCTCTTCATCTTCTTCTTCTTAGACTTACCTTTTCAGACTCAATATTGCAAATGCTGCTACCCCTATGAGTACATCCGGATAACTCTCTCGGCCCAGTTAGCCTTGATAATTTGGGCAACTTCAGTTTTTTTGTAATCGGTAGATGTCTGATTTGGCTTTTCCTCTCCTGCTTAGGGTTTGGCAGTTGTCAACGACCTGGCCATCAGCTGATAATGCTTAGATCTGAAATTAGCCAGCAGCCTCTCAGAAGCCGTGGCTCTGGACCTCATATGCCAGAGGCATTAGAATACAGCCCGCATGATAACCCATTAAACAATGAAACATGTGATGGACTAAAAAACAGAGATACATCAGCAAATGCGCCTGGGGAAGTTTACGGTATTTAAATCCTAAACATTAATTTTATCATCCTGTATGAGAAACCCAATTAACTGAGAGTTTCATAATTTTTTTTTTTAATTGGATGGAGGCGATATTGTTCAGAAAACCGACGAATGCTAAATTCAGCATATTTCAGTTTTATTACCATTGGCTTGTCCACTCTCGGACCCATTTCTGCCAAGTTTAAAGAGTAATTAGATCTTTCGTCGATAACTGTGTTTGTCCTTTTTTGGGTAAATTTAGATTTTTAAACGTTGCCATCCTCAGTGAGCCAATACGTAACAAATA